CAGCCCCCAATCCTCCACCCCTTTGGGTGTAGCCCTTTCAGACTGATTAGTTGATGATGCATGAGGTGTGTTAGCCCAACCTTTAATTACCATATTAAATCATGTGACTATAATTGCCATAACATTCTCTTGTTTATAAAACCTTTTTGTAAACAAAGCTCTTTCTCACAGAACTGTAGCCTCGTTAACTGCTTGTTTGGGCTAAAGCACACCTGGACTGATAATTGTGAATCTGGCCTCAGAAAACAACTTTTCTCAGCAAGGAAAAATACAGACACACATCTTTACATTTCAACATTTTAACATTGACTATATGTCCCATCAAATTCTAACAAAAGTGACTTTACACTACTTATTATACAGTGATGCCTCCAACCAATAGCTGCTATGTCCCTGAACCATATTTGCTGCATCCCGTTTCATTGATGGTGGAAGCCTGTCAATGACTGCCCAATAGTGCAATCCCCAAGTGCAAAATGTCACTATCAGGGCAGTTGTGGGGTTGACAACCACATGGTCTCAGTGCCCCCTCCTCCCTCCCTGTCCCACCTCCACTTTGCTATTCACAGGCAACCTACTTCCCTTCCTTCCTTCCTTCCTTCCTTCCTTCCTTCCTTCCTTCCTTCCTTCCTTCCTTCCTTCCTTCCTTCCTTCCTTTTTAAACTTAACTCATAATTGTAGAGCTCTGGAATTACATGAAAAAAATGAAAATATAAATGAAATAAATCAAAGGCATGGTGGGTAGGGCAAAGGGCAGGGAAGAAGGGTTAAGGGAAAGTCAGGAAGAGAGTGTGATGGGAGCCCCAGCCCCAGTTGCACAGTTGAGAAGACATGTGGTTATGGCTGCTCTGAAAGCATTGTGTTTCCATTAAAAACAACAACAACACAACAGCACTGATGTGATTGCTGTGAGCGTGGGGCTTGTGTGGTAATATCCTAAGTCACCCTGCTATTTCTTTCCTTTTTTTATGATTCACAGGCCTGCTTTTAAAAACTCCTCTTATTCTTCACTTTGCATAAAGAAACCCTATCTGTGAAACATTAAATTTGTTCAAGCCTATTTGCCAGCACTTCTATATTTTTCTTGCTGTGTAAGCTTTACTTATTAAATTCAATTCTTTTGTAAGGGTGTTACTTGCTATTTGAAGAAGAAATGGACAGAATGGATCCAATATTGTCAAATGTAACTTAGATTATCCTCCATGCTTTTCATTTCCTTTCCTCCAGCTTATTATTTATTAGTTTCCAAGGTCTCAGAACTAGCTGAGCTTTTAAGGAGAATTTTATCCAAACAGTTGAAAGGGATAGAATTAAGTTTAGTGCTTCTCAGCATGTTATAGAACAGTATTAAATGCCCACCCCATGACAAACCTCTAAAGGGCATACTGTTTTGCCAGAATTAATAAAATGTTTCTGTAGTTATAGGGTAAAATTTGACAGTCTTGCATGGCGAGAATTAAAATAGATTGGCTTTGTGTCTTATGTTGTATATGAATTTCTGAAGAACCTGTGAGAATAAGTCATGCACACCAACATGTATTTGTTTTATACGATAAAAATGTATAGTAGTTTTCTCTTCCTGGACTCTGGTCTTCTGTTCACTTTTTCTGTCTCGTTTTTACCCTTTAAAATACTGCCCTATTGCTGAACTTGTAATCAGGATTTTTAGGTACTCCCTATATATCATATTCTCAGGATTCCTTGACAGGCTGATAAAATAAGTTGATAACATATATGACATATATGAAAGTGTTTTTTCACCTTCAGATTAGTTCTAAAGTGATAGAATCCTTTTTTTATTTGTTTTGTTAATACAGGCTGAATATCCCTTATTTGGAATTCTGAAATCCATAATACTCCAAAATTCTCCACATGGGTGGCAAAGATAGTGATATATTTGCTTTCTGATGGCTCAATGTATACAAAATTTGTTTCATGCACAAAAACATTATATGTAAACTTCCTTCAGGCTATGTGCTTGTTATCAGCTTTGGCTAATACACCAACCTCACCACTTCCTAGAACTGGAGGACCTAAAGATGGTAGTGCACATGCTGCCAACTTCAAGGCTGCACTTCTGCAATGAACTCTACACTGGGCTACCTTTACACCAAGTCTAGAAACTCCAA